AGTTTATTGTGATCCACACAGTTGAAGACTTTGGCATAGTCAATAAAGCAGAAATAGATGTTTTTCTGAAACTCTCTTGCTTTTTTGATGATCCAGCAGATATTGGCAATTTGATCTCTGGTTCCTCTGCCTTTTCTAAAACCAGCTTAAACATCTGGAAGCTCAAAGTTCACGCATTGCTGAAGCCTGGCTTGGAGAATTTTGAACATTAGTTTACTAGTGTGTGAGATGAGTGCAATTGTGCGGTAGTTTGAGCATTCTTTGGGATTGCTTTTCTTAGGGACTGGAATGAAAACTGACTTTTCCAGTCCTGTGGCCACTGCTGAGTTTTCCAAATTTGCTGGCATATTGAGTGCACCACTTTCACAGCATCATCTTTTAGGATTTGAAATAGCTCAACTGGAATTCCATCACATCCACTAGCTTTGTTCGTAGTGATGCTTTCTAAGGCCCACTTGACTTCACATTCCAGGATGTCTGGCTCTAAGTGAGTGATCACACCATTGTGATTATTTGGGTCATGAAGATCTTTTTTGTACAGTTCTTCTGTGTATTCTTGCCACCTCTTCCTAATATCTTCTGCTTCTGTTAGGTCCATAACATTTCTGTCCTTAATCTGTCCTTTAACAAAATGTTCCCTTGGTATCTCTAATTTTCTTGAAGAGATCTCTAGTCTTTCCCATTCTATTGTTTTACTCTATTTCTTTGCATTGATCCAAGGAAGGCTTTCTTATCTCTCCTGGCTATTGTTTGGAACTCTGCATTCAAATGGGTATATCTTTCCTTTTCTCCTTTGCTTTTTGCTTCTCTTTTCACAGCAATTTGTAAGGCCTCCTCAGACAACCATTTTGCCTTTTTGCCTTTCTTTTCCATGGGGATGATCTTGATCCCCGTCTCCTGTACAATGTCATGAACCTCCGTCCATAGTTCATCAGGCTTTCTGTCTGTCATATCCAGTCCCTTATATCTATTTCTCACTTCCACTGTATAGTCATAAGGGATTTGATTTAGGTCATACCTGAATGGTCTAGTGGTTTTCTCTACTTTCTTCAGTTTAAGTCTGAATTTGGCAATAAGGAGTTCATGATCTGAGCCACAGTCAGCTCCCAGTCTTGTTTTTGCTGACTGTATAGAGCTTCTCCATCTTTGGCTGCAAAGAATATAATCAATCTGATTTTGGTGTTGACCATCTGGTGATGTCCATGTGTAGAGTCTTCTCTTGTGTTGTTGGAAGAGGGTGTTTGCTATGACCAGTGCGTTCTCTTGGCAAAACTCTGTTAGCCTTTGCCCTGATTCATTCTGTACTCCAAGGCCAAATTTGCCTGTTTCTCCAGGTGTTTCTTGACTTCCTATTTTTGCATTCCAGTCCCCTATAATGAAAAGGACATCTTTTTTGGGTGTTAGTTCTAAAAGGTCTTGTAGGTCTTCATAGAAACTTTAAACTTCAGCTTTTTCAGCATTACTGGTTGGGGCATAGGCTTGGATTACCGTGATATTGAATGGTTTGCCTTGGAAATGAAGAGAGATCATTCTGTCGTTTTTGAGATTGCATCCAAGTACTGCATTTCGGATTCTTTAGTTGGCTATGATGGCTACTCCATTTCTTCTAAGGGATTCCTGCCCACGGTAGTAGATATAATGGTCATCTGAGTTAAATTCACCCATCCAGTCCATTTTAGTTCTCTGATTCCTAGAATGTTGACATTCACTCTTGCCATCTCCTGTTTGACCACTTCCAATTTGCCTTGATTCATGGACCTAACATTCCAGGTTCCTATGCAATATTGCTCTTTACAGCATCAGACCTTGCTTCTATCACCAGTCACATCCATAACTGGGTATTGTTTTTGCTTTGACTCCATCCCTTCATTCTTTCTGGAGTTATTTCTCCACTGACCTCCAGTAGCATATTGGGTACCTACTGACCTGGGGAGTTCCTCTTTCAGTGTCCTATCATTTTGCCTTTTCATACTGTTCATGGGGTTCTCGAGGCAAGAATACTGAAGTGGTTTGCCATTCCCTTCTCCAGTGGCCCACACTGTCAGACCTCTCCACCATGACCCGACCATCTTGGGTGGCCCCACATGGCATGGCTTAGTTTCATTGAGTTAGACAAGACTGTGGTCCATATGATCAGATTGGCTAGTTTTCTGTGATTACGGTTTTAGTGTTTCTGCCCTCTGATGCCCTCTTGCAACACGTACGATCTTACTTAGGTTTCTCTTACCTTGGACGTGGGGTATCTCTTCACAGCTGCTCCAGCAAAGCGCAGCCGCTGCTCCTTACCCTGGAAGAGGGGTACCTTCTCATGGTGAGGTTCAGTGATTAGGACTCCACAGTTCCACTGCAGGGACTTGGGTTCCATCCCTGGTCAGGGAAATAAGGTCCCCCAAGCTAAGGGACATGGCCAAAAAAAAAAAAAAAAAAAAAAAAAGTCAAGATATTTAAGCAGAACAAGTAATTTGAAAAAGAAAAGAATGAAAAAAAATCCAGATTTACCCTTCTTTGAAGGAAGTTATGATTTAAAATGATATAATTTCCCTTTATTCACAAATACATAGGCATCTTATAACTTGAGGATCCACCACATTAGCAATATTTCACCAGTTCTTTTCTTTATACTGTCTTATTGAATGAAACATTATCCTTGTGAAATATTTTTATCACTACCTGTACTTTATAACTGAGGAACAAACAAACAACCAAAACTAAAAATAACTCAAGTAACTTTTGCATGGACACACAGCTAGCAAGTGGCAGAATCAGGACTGTTTTCTAGATCTGTCTGATCTTGGGCTCATAAAAGCAATGAGATATATCAGTGAACTTTGGTAAAGGCTAAAGAGTAAATATTGTCTTTGGGAACCCTAGGGTCTCTCTTCCAACTACTTAATCCTGCCACTGCAGTGTGAAAATAGCCCTGGAGAATAAAAAAATGAGAGCAGGCCTGGTTCCAAGTAAAACTTTATGAACACTTAAATTTGAATTTATTATAATTATCATGTTTCATGAAAGAGTCTTCTTTCAGTTTATCTTCACAAACATTTAACATGTAAAATCATTCTTAGTTTTCAGGCTATAATGAAACAGGCCATGGGGCACATTTGGGGGATAGATCAAATTTTGCTGACATTTGATAGCCTGGCAGGGTTACATTATGTGGAGAAATGTGAACACATCTCCAGATTACAGTCTGAAACAGACTGCCATGAGTATGAATTTATATCAGAAGGAAGAAAGAAAGAAAGTGATTGGGCCCCAAGCAACAAATACCACCTTCCGTGCTGGTATTTCTCAAGGAGAATGAAACAGAAGATCCAAACTAAAGCGTCTCTACCTTCTCCACTCCTTGTTTCTAAGTAACTCTACTCCAAGCTACTTGGAGAGGCTGCCCCGAGTTCATAGAGTGAGACAGGAAGAGGCTGCCAGTCATCACTTGTCACAGGAGCCACGTGGCTGGCAGGAGGCGGTCCTCTCATGCCCAGGCCCCGGCTCACACTTGAGGGCAGAGCCCAAGGCTGGGATAAAAGGACCTTGGGACCAGAGCACCTCCATCCACTCCTCTCCTGTGGTGCTGACGAACCTGCGCTGCGTGTGTACAGGTAAGCGTCCTCTGAGAACTGGAGCGGGGCCTTCCACAGAGGATGCTCAGATATGAACGAGAAGGCAGGACCGTCACAGAGCTAGGTCATTGTGTCAGAGGAGGAGGGCACAGGATGACTGAGGGATGCAAGGAGGGAGCTGGTACCAACTGGGAACACAGGCAGAAGAGTCAGGCAGCTGTGCCCCAAAGGAAACAAGCTGACCTGTAGTGGAGAGGGCCTCTCAGGAGAAGGACACTGATGACGTGACAGACTCCAAGCTCTACTCTGGCAGGTGTCGGGAGGGAGCTCACATGTGAAAATATTGCCCTGCCCCCATTTCCAGCGAAGGAGCAGCCCAAGACCTCAGGCTCCTCTGGGATTTTTAAACTTGCTTATTATTAAACTTCTTCATGCTTATTCATGGATCTGAAGTGCGTTTACAAACTTCCATGTTGATTAAGAAACAGTAACCCTGAGGACCACCATCGCAACCCATCAGCTTAAGGAGATGGGACCTCTCTGGACTGAGATCAGAGGGCAGAGGTTCAAGTCCCAGGGCTGTAGAGGTTGAGAGGATTACTAGTCTCTTCTTTAATAAAGGTGGCTCAGTGGTAGAAAATTCCCCTGCCAATGCAGGAGATGAGGGTTTGATCCCTGGGTCAGAATGATCACCTGGAGAGGGAAATGGCAGTCCACTCCAGTATTCTTGCCTGGGAAATTTCACAGACAGAGGAGCTTGGTGGGCTATGGTCTATGGGGTAGCAAAAGAGTCAGACATGATGAGCAACTAAACAACAACAATGATCTTTAATATAAGTGGGCTTAATGAGAGCTGTAATCTATAAGATTTTTTTGCAATGCTGACTTTACAGAATAAATCAAATTATGATCAGGGGACTGGTTGCTGTATTTTTTCTTGAAGAAAGAATTTGTCCTTAAATGGACTATAAAGTGGACAATTTCAGATTTGGAAGACATAGATAGAATCAGTTCCATCTCCACTTACAAGATTTCAGACTCTTGGAGCTGTTTTGTTATATTGTTTGGTCTTAGGTTACTACTTTGTACAACTAGATGAGAGGTCTTGTCTGACTTACACAACTGTGCTGAAGTTTCAAATATAAAATTCAAGAGTATGGGAAAGCTACTAAGAGTAGTAAAACTACTGGATATTATGCTTTTAAGATTATAAGTGATGCTAAGAGGGCAAAAGGGGGCAGGGAGGTCTCTGTGTGCTGGATCTACCTGCTGTCTGATTCTCCCTCAGGTCCTGAGCCCGCCCACCAAGATGTCCTGCCAGCAGAACCAGCAGCAGTGCCAGCCCCCTCCCAAGTGCACCCCCAAGTGCCCCACTCCTAAATGCCCCTCAAAGTATCCCCCGAAGTGCCCCCCAGTCTCCTCCTGCTGCGGCTCCAGCTCCGGGGGCTGCTGCAGCTCTGGGTGTGGGGGCTGCTGCCTGAGCCACCACAGGCGCCGCAGGTCCCACCACCGCAGACCCCAGAGGTCTGACTGCTGCAGCCAGCCCTCGGGGGGCTCCGGGTGCTGTGGAGGGGCAAGCGGTCAGTCCTCTGGAGGCGGCTGCTGCTGAAGTGGATGCTGAGCCAAGAAGAGCTGGCCTGGGGACAACAGATGGACAAACCCTTCCTCCTCCTCCTCACCTCCTGCTGGGCCTGCCCCTCTTGCTGGGGAGTCTGGCCTTTGAGCTCTGGTCCTGAGGATCCCTGAGCCCTAGGGTCCAGGAGCCCCAGACCTCTCCCCGAAACCCATTTATTCACCTCCTTTGCCATACGTGTGATGGCCCTGGGAATCCCAAAGCACAGACCCCGTGCCCCTCTGTGAGTTATTGCATCCTGCTGCTCAAGTTAAAATAATAACCACAGAGTGTGCTCACTGACTTGATGTAGACAGATTTCATTTCATGTTGTGGTCACCATTGTTCTGTTCTTGTACCTTCTCTGCTGGTAGCTTCAGAGGCCTCAGTAGACAGACGACAGGGTCATGGGTCAGAAGGGAAAAGTGTATTTTTTATAGGTTTGCATTTTCTCCTAATTCTTTGTTTTCCCTTTCAACCAATATCCTGAAGCAGCATTAGCTGTGAACATAGCTTCTTCAACTTCTGGCTCCCTTCCTGCCTTCATATATCTAACTGTGCCCTCAGACATGACCAGGAGACAGACAGCTGCTTCTTCCTCTCTTCCCACTGTCATTCCTCACTCCTAAGCTCCGCATCCCTCACCCTTCTCCTGACAATCTCTACTTGACTCCTCCATCAGTTTAAATATACAAAATACATACATACAAAAATATAGATGGAATCTTTATTTTAAATTAAAAACTCACTTTTATTTCTGTATAATTTACATGCAATAAAATTTGCTAATTTTAATATACAATTCAATGTTTTGTCAAATATATGTAGTCATATAACTACAAATACAATCAACACCTTTAAAATGTAGTTGGTAGTTAATTATTTGGAGAGAACTTTAATTAAGAATAACATAAGATCCATAATATATAAAGGAAAATATAGATACATGTAATCTACATGGTTAAATGTGGAAAAATTAAATTCTAAATGGTAGAAAATACCAATAAAAATGTGGAGGAATACAAAATTGATGAGAAACTCAAAGTTTTCCTTCTGAGATCAGGTACAAGGCAAGAATGTCCCCTATCACTACTCCTTTTCCACATGGTGGTACTGGATGTTCTAGCTAATGCAATTAGACAAGAAAAATAAGTTAAAGATATACTGATTGGGAAGGAAGAAATAAACTGTTTGTTCACAAATAACATTATTGTCTCTGTAGAAAATTTAAAAGATAGTAAAAAAGAGTTTTAGCAAGGTGAAGGTACAAAGTTAAGCAAGTGTCAATTGCGTTCCTATATACCAGAAATGAGCAAATGCATTTTGAAATTTTAAAATGCAATACCATTTATAATAGCACCCCTAAGATTAAGTACTTAGGTATAAATCTAATAAAATATGTATAAAATCTATTTTACGAAAACTATAAGACTCTGATAAATGAAATCATAGAACTTAAAAAATGGAGAGATAGTCCATGTTTATGGATAGAAAGATGCAATATTATCAAGATGTTGATTCTTCCCAATCTGTTCTATGCACTCCCAATCAAAATTCCAGGAGTTATTTTGTGGGTATCACCAAGCTGATTCTAAAGATTATATGATATTCATATATGACCCAGAACAGCCAATACAATACTGAAGGAGAATCAGCTCATAAGGATTAACATTACCTGACTTCAAGACTTACTATAAGTAAGTTATATAATCAACGCAGTTTGGTATTGGCAAAACAATAGGTAATAGATCAATGAAACAGAATAGAAAGCCCAGAAATAACCCCCCCCCCAAACCGATAATCAACTGGTACTTGGGGGGAAAAAAGAAGCAATATAATGGAACAAAGATAGTCTTTTCATGTAATAGGGCTCGACATCAACATGTGAAAAAATGAAGCTAGACACAGAACTTATATTTTTAACAAAAAAACTGACAATGGATCACAGACTTAAATGTAAATGAGAATTATAGCATTCCTAGAAGAAGAGAGGCAAACCTAGTTGATCTTGGGTATGGCAGTGACATTTTAGATTCAACACCAAAGTCATGATACATGAAATAAGTAACTGATGAGTTAGGTTGCATTGAATTAAAAACTTCTGCTTTGCAAAAGACAATGTTAAGATTGATAAAATAAGCCACAGTCTGGAAAGAATATTTTCTACTATAAAGGAGTACTATCCAAAACATTCAAAGAGCTCTTAAAACTAAACAAAAAGAAAAAAAAACCCAATTAAAAAATAGACAAAGGGCCTGATACCTCACTAGTGAAGATATACAGATGCAAATAAGCATATGAAAAGATGCTGCATGTCCTATGCCATGGGGAATGCAAATTACAGCAATGAGATACCACTACACACCTGTCATTATGGCTAAAATATTGAATTCTGACAACATCAAACACTGGTGAGCGTGTGGAACAATAGGAATGTTAACTCACTGCTAACGGAAATGCAAAATTTTCCAACAACTTTGGAAGACAATTTCTTATAAAACCAAATGTTCTCTTACCATGTGATCTAGCAGTCACATTTCTTGGTATTCACCCAAAATTGTTGAAAACTTACATCCACACAAAAATCTATAGGCAGATGTTCAGAGCAGCTTTTTCATAATTGTCAAATCTTGGAAACAATCAAGATATCCTTTAGGAGGTGAATAAACTGGTAGATCCAGACCATGGAATATTATTAAACACTATGAAGAAATGATCTATCATGCCATGAAAAGACAGAGAGGAAGCTTAAATACATATTATTAAGTGAAAGAAGTCAATATGAAAAGGCTACATATTGTATGGGTTCCAACTATATGACATTATGGAAAAGGCAAAATGGTGGCAAAAATAAAAAGATCAGTGATTGGGACTTCCCCAGCAGTCCAGTGGTTAAGATTCCATCTTCCAATGCAGGGGGTGTAAGTTTGATCTCTGATCAGGGGACTATTAATAAGATCCCACATGCTCCAGAGTATGGCCAAAAGTTAAAATAAATAAATAGATAAGACTTGTTAAAAAAAAAAGATCAGTGATTGCCAAGAGTTGTTGGGGTGGGAGAGGGATGTATAGGCAGGGCATTTTTAGGATAATAAAAATACTCTGTGTGATACCATACTGATGGATATATGTCATTACACATTTGTCCAAACCTACAAATTGTGGAACACTAAGAATACATGGTAATGTAAGCTATAGACTTTGTACAATAATGATGTAGAAGTGGAAGCTTCATCAAGTGTAACAAATGTACATGTCTGGTGGGGGATGTTGACAATGGAGGAAGCTAGGCAGGTATTGGGAGAGGAATTATACAGGAAATTTCAGTGCCTTCTCCCCAATTTTTCTATGAACCTAAAATTGCTCTAAAAATGTTTTAATAAAAATAATTAACTTGGGAAATAGACTACATATGATAGTTATAGTATCAATATCCCTAGAAAACATAGGTTTCATAGTAATTAAAAATAAACAAGTAAACATTTTTATAAAAGATTTGGAAGAGTCATAAATGATCAATACCAAAAAAAGGAAGAAAGAAGTGAAAAAAATTCTAGTTTCCACTAAAATTAGATTATAAAAAAAATTCCACCTCACTAATAAAGAATAGAACTTGTTTCTTCAGGAGGGAGCTCTTAGATTCATAATACATTGTCAGAGATTAAAAAGGCGCTTAAAGGACTTCCCTAGTAATCCAGGGACTAAGAATTCATCTTGCAATGCAGCAGACCCGGGTTTGATCCCTGGTTAGGGAACTAAGATTGCACATGCCACGGTGCAACTAAGCCTAATTACCACAACTGCCTAGCCCAAGTTCTAGAACCCGGGTGCTACAACTAGAGAGCCTGTGCATTGCAATGAAAGATCCTGCATGACACAATGAAGATCTCTCGTGTGTTGCAACAAACACCCAACAAAACCAACCAAATAAATAAATAAGTGAATATTTTTTTAAAATTAAAGAAATGTTCCTAAAACTATTGTTGGTGGCTTGTGTGCAAATGGTCCCTCAAAAAGCCTTGTTACTGGGAATGCAAATTAGCCTAATGATTCAGGGCATTCATTCAATGAATATTTATTGGGGTACATTAATTAATTCCAGTAGAACTATTTAAAATCCTAAATGATGATGTTATTAAAGTGCTGCACTCAATACATCAGCAACTTTGGAAAACTCAGCAGTGGCCACAGGACCAGGAAAGGTCAGTTTTTGTTTCTATCTCAAAGAAGGGCAGTGCCAAAGAACATTCAGATTACTGAACAATTGCACTCATTTTGAATGCTAATAAGGTAATGTTTCAAATTCTTCAAGCTAAGCTTCAGCAGTATATAAGCCAAGAGCTTCCAGATGTACAAGCTGGGTTTAGAAAAGGGAGAGGAACCAAAGATCAAATTGCCAACATTCGTTGGGTCATAGAAAAAGCAAGGGAATTCCAAACAAACAAACAAACAAAAAAACCACAATCTACTTCTGCTTCATAGACTATGCTAAAGCCTTCGACTGTGTGGATCACAACACACTGGAAAATTCTTAGAGATGGTGAATACCAGATTGTCTTACTGTCTCCTGAGAAACCTGTATGTGGGTCAAGAAACAACAGTTAGAACCTTACATGGAACAATGGACTGGTTCAAAATTGGGAAAGGAGTACAAAAAGGCTGTATATTGTCACCCTGTTTATTTAACTTATATGCAGAGTACATCATGCAAGATGCTGGGCTGGATGAATCACAAGATGGAATCAAGATTGCTGGGAGAAATATCAATAACCTCAGATATGCAGATGATAATACTCTAATGGCAGAAAGTGAAGAAGATTAGAGCCTCTTGATGAAGGTAAAAGAAGAGAGTGAAAAAGCTGACTTAAAATCCAACATTCAAAAATTTAAGATCATGGCATTCAGCCCCATCACTTCATGCCAAATAGAAGGGGGGAAAACGGGAGCAGTGACAGATTTTATTTTCTTGGGCTCCAAAATCACTGTAGATGGTGACG